TTGCTTTTTGTGACTATTCCATATTTTCCAGAGTTCCTTCCTCCTCCACGGGGCAATGCTGCAGGACTCTTATGAATCCACATAAAGAGGAGAAGGAGTCTTTGCACCCCAGCCCTGTGTGCCTGCAAAGCCAGGCAGTGGGGGCAGACCTTTGTGTGCATGGATTACCTGTGGAGCCACCATCTCTGACAGGTATCCCTCTGAGATGTGCAGAGCCCAAGGCTGGTGACCATGCACAGGGGCTGCAGAGCCACTGGTGGGCCGGAAGAGCCAACCTTCAGCCTCTGTGCCAGGTGAATCCACAACAGAAACACAGACCTCTGGCCTTGGTTATCCAAGTTGGCCAGTGACATCTGCTGTGATGCTCTTCTGAGCTGCCAGCTGAATACAGAGGGAAACCAGCACTCCCAGAGGACAGCACACACCAGGCTGAGTTTGCCATGGGAAGAATTTGGAAGGAATACTTGAAGACCGTTGCCTGATTCAGGCCAGGCATCTGGATGGCTCCCAGCAACTCTGCCCTTAGGTCACTTTACAATCAACACAGTGAGCTGTTAAAAGAATTCATTATTGGTGTCTCAACACCCCTGGACCACAGCAGCTAAAAATCCATACGAACGAAGGGCTCTTAAAACCATCTGTGCACTGTTTATTCTCTGCAGGGACAATAAAGAGAAGGAAATACTGAGAGCAGTGAGAAGAAAATGTTGAGAGTCATGAAATCTATAAAGTGTAAAGAGAGATGTGCCACATTTAGCAGGGATTATGTCAAGCAGCATCCTGAGCCAGGAGTGCTGACAGCACACACACGCTGCCTTCCACAGAGGAAAACAGGTCATATGTGACCCCAAACATGCCAGCAGAGCTCCCAGCAGCACGAGCAGAAAACCCAAATTTCAGCACTGCCCACAGGCAAGGTTAATGGTCCTGGATCCTATGGAGAGTACGAGCCATATGAGAGAGCAGGACCTTTGAAACGTGCCTTGAAAGTCTAAACAAGGTCTCGAGAGGACTTTTATTTGCAACAAGCACAAGGGGAGAGGACAGAACTTTTGCCACCAATCACAGCTCTGGGCAGCTGCTTTTCCACATCCTCCAGCTCCCATGAGCTTCTCCTCCACAGGGAGCCTCTGTCTCATTTCCCAGCAGCCAGGACATCCTGGCAGCAGCATCCACTCATGCAGTGGGACAGCTCTCACACAGAGCACACTGGAAAGAAGGTTCGCAAGGTAATGGCCTAACACAGTGAATTAATTCCAAAGCACAATTGTTTTCAATCTTCATTTAAACCCAACCTTACCTAATCTCACTTTAACGACATAGGAAATGGAAATTCCCTTAATAATGTAAGTTATGAATATTTATTACCCTATTTTTTACCTGAAAATGGAGTAATTCAATTAATTTTACTATTAATTATTTAATACAGAATTAATATGCTGCAAGATCCTAACTTTTCTTTACAATGCTGCTGGTATCCCAGATAGGGGATGTTCCTTATGCTGGACTGATGGGCAGGTAAGGCACAGGGTGTGCTTCCTGGACAAGGGACACCTGGATAGGAGGTGGGGAGACTCCAGGGACTGCACCCATCCTGTTCTCACTGTGGAGTAAGGCTGGTCCCCCCAGCAATCCCCCTGTGTCCTTTAAGGGACAGAAACACATCTGAACTGCATTCCCAGATGGAAAACTGACCTTGCAGCTTCTGAGCACAGCCAAGGCTTTTCCATTGCCTGGGGCCCACTTGTGAAATAGTGACGTCACCTCGGATCGCTCAGGAATATTTTTAAAATACCGTACAAATGCTAATGACAAAAGGCACCTGGAAACAGAGAAGCAAAGTATCTCCCTCTGGCAGAATGCTCCTGGACTCAGAAAATTGACTTTGTCATTGAAATTCCAAAGTAAATAACAATTAAGTTCTACTTGATATATAAATGTCAAGTAATTTTTTTTTTTTGTCATCGTGATTTGCATTTAAACTTGGAAATGTCAGCCACTTGGCCCTGCTGCATTAGCAGAACGCTTCCCCCGCCCCGCTGCCGGAACACCCGCTGCGGATTACCCGGCACATCATCAAATAACCAAACACCATTCCAAGGCAGCCTCAAGGTCAATGCTTGTGAGGTGTACTTGCTAATTTATGTTGATCAACTGGAGCGCTCAAAGGACTGTTGTAATAATGCTCCAGTACATTTATATCAGGGTATTCAGTCAATTGGAGTCGTTCAACAAGAAGTTTTCACCAAGAAAAGAAAGTTGTTCAAAAGAAGTCGTTCAACAAAACATTCAGAACTGCAACATGGGATATGTTTGGGAAAGAGAGAATCCCATGTTAACAGAACAAAACATTCACAACTGCAAGCCTGACTCCAAACCAGCTCGTCCCTCATTGCCAAGCTCTGCCTTAGCTCAGGGACCTGTGAGGCACCACAGCCCAGCCTGGCCTGACCCTCTACAGCAGTTCCTTCACTGAGCTGGACAGCACCAAAACCCCATCACCAATATCAACCCTCTGCCCACACATCAAGTAACCAAACACCATTCCAAGGGAGCCTCAAGGTCACTGCTTGTGAGGTGTACTTGCTAATTTATGTTGATCAACTGGAGAGCTCAAAGGACTGTTGTAATACTGCTCCAGTATGTTTATATCACTGTATTCAGTCAATTGGAGTTGTTCAACAAGAAGTTTCAGATTAGGGACCTTTTGCAAAGGTTTATCATAGCTCCTTCAATGGCAAGAGGGCCTCCCTTCCATGTCCATGACTAAAGCAATATCCATCCATGCTGTAAACATGGGAAACTCTGTTTGGGAAAGAGATTAAAACATTCAGAACTGCAAGTTTGGCTCCAAACCAGCTCCAAACCAGCTCGTCCCTCAGTGCCACGCTCTGCCTTAGCTCAGGGACCTGTGAGGCATCACAGCCCAGCCTGGCCTGACCCTCTGCAGCAGTTCCTTCACTGAGCTGGACAGCACCAAAACCCATCCCAATATCAACCCTCTGCCCACAGCTGCAGCAGCAGCAGCTCCCACAGGCAGTGTCCAGCCATGCCCAGAGCCCCCATAGCATCCATCCAGCAGTGACTCCTCACAGCACACTATACATCATCATATTAGGAAACTCTGTGTGTGTCAGTGATGCAATTAATTTTTATTAATTTTGTGAGATGAAATTAGTAGCACCCACAGCAGCAAACAAAGAACAGGGAGTGTTCCAGTTCAGTGCCAAATCAATGTCATTAATTCTGCAATACCGGGAGCTCTGATTGTAGCAACTCAGCATTTAACTCTTCCAAATAATTTTTATATTAAAAAAAAATAGAAAACTAACTGAACAATTTCAGAAGGACCTTGAACTCATGTCACAACTTTCCTTCTCCTGGGACATTCTTTCTTCCAAGTGTAAACACACAAGAGGAAGGCAAGGAAATGTGTTTGCTGCTCTCTGTGGAGAGAGCTGCAGACACAAGGAAATGTTCATCAGAAAATTATTTTCATGCATTGCCTTTAGCAAACCAAGCTCTTAAAATCAGAAGATGCTGCTACAAAAACATTTATAATTTCCTATCTTTAATGATACCATGTAGAGCCAGACTAGTTAATGTGTTTTCTGACCCCTTAAAAGGCTTCTCTGGCAAAGGCTCAGCCAGAAATTGTTTTAAATTAATTCTGAAACTGGGATTACCAACCCAGAAAAAACTATTGCTAATATTAACTGAATTACCTGCTGTTCTGCTGCCAAGGAGAGCCTCACAGCTGCTACCAGCAGGAAAGATCCATTCAGGGCCCTTCCACCACCATGGCAGCTCCAGGTCTTGGACAATCACTGAGAAACAATTGGGTTTCCCACATCTCCTTCCCAGTGCTACACTTTTTAATACGACAAGCAAATGCATTACTTACCAATGTCACAAAAATATACAGTCTGAGGGGGAGGAAGCCCACAAAAGTAAAACAACACTGCTCTTTTGTTCCCATATTTCATGGAAAGCAGGTCCTCTGTGTGCCCCACCTGCAGCTGCACTGCAGAGGTGCAGAGAAGGCCTCCAGGTCCATCCTCTCTTCAGCTGGGTGCTGTGGAACACCTGGAATCAATCTGTGCTATTCGTTAGGGTGGCACCGCTCCCCGTGTCCCACTGGGACCTCTGTCCCTGCTCATGGCAGCAGGAGGTGATGCCAAACCTGGAGCACGCTGCTCCGGGCGCCTGCGGCACCGGCCCCTGCAACGGATGATGCTGGGATGCAGGATGCTAGAACAGGCTTTTCTCTCACCTGGCTCCCAGCAGGCTCCTTCCAATGGCCCAGCCCTCTGCAATAGGAAAGGGGTGATTGGGAAAAAGAAAAACAGCAAAAGCCCAGCAAGACCAGAAAGCAAGAGTCGTTCTCTGCGTTAGTGAGACGTATGGAGCCAGAACATAGCTGAAACAGCAGGAAAACATCCACAGCCAAAACTCCATGTCTGGGTTCCCAGGGGAGCGAGAAGTTAAACATTTATGGCAGCACGAAGAAGACATGACATTTACTGAATAATAAACTGCAAACATGTCTGTTAATGCAGCTTTTTGGGACCTCCTCACCATCAAACACTTAACCTCAGCAAGGGAAACACCAGAACACAAACAAACCCCATGCCTGTCTGTGAACAGGCAGCACATGGTGGGGCTGCTGCTTTTTTATTTATTTAAAGTTAGAGGCAAGGGAGCTCTGTCAAGATAAACAGCCCGCAACCTTGCTCAGAGACTTCAGATCTGCTCATCTGAAGGGATACAATTAAATCCTGAGCAATCGGGTTAAAACTTTAACCTGCCAAGACTGTAGCTGTTCCATTTTTAATCAATCTGATTTCATTCAATAAAATGCTCATTAAGGCAATTAATGAGAGTTTGGTGTCACAAGCCATCAGGCGTGACTGGGAGTTTCCACTTGGTGGTCAAGGCATTGATCAGTGAGTCAAGTCATCAGCGCGAGAGAGTCAATGTGCTGAGCAGGAGAACATTACCTGGTTTTGGGGGAGGTTGTTAGCCACTCCTCATGCTTTTCAAACGTTATTAAATAAGCTGCAATTTCCTGAAAGAGAAATGCAGAAAGAAAACAGAGTTACTTGCATGGCTGTGCTGGGAACTGGAAAGTTTTTATAACAGAGACATGGAGCCGCCTACCCCGGGGCCAGGCTGCAGCTGAAATCGGGTTTTGACTGACAGAGAGCACTCAGTAAATGTTCACATCCACGCCACCAAGGCCAGGCTTAAACAGGACAATGAAGAGATGCAAATGAGGAAAGGCATTAACATTTTTCCAGCACAGAGAATTTGCTGGTAACTGTGGTGACCACGGCATCGCCGAGAGCCCGGTATGACGTCAGGAAGCAAAGGGGAGGGTAGCGACAATACGGACACAGGGAGCTAAATAAAATATTTATAAATAGAACAGCATCACTGCAGAGAGAATTACTGAATTATTAATCGTTGCCATAAAAAGCCAGCGGGTGACATCAACATAAGTCATTGCTCCCACTTGCAGGAATGATACGGGCGATTACTTCCAGATCAGAACCGATTTGTTTGCAGGAAATTATCGGCGCCAGCGACATAATTCACGACAGTGCCTGTAAACAGGCCTGAGGAACGGGACAGACATTCATCCATTTCCTGGGTACAAACCCAGGGTGGTCACAAGGTGACAACTGTCACCACACCAGCAGGGTCCCGATATCTAGAGATGGCCACAGACTTCTGAGACTGTGCTGAAAATAAACCCCCTATGATATACTCAGAAAAATATATGGTTTTGATGGTTAACTTCCAAAAATTATCACCCAGCCCTCTCAGAAGGGCCTGCATAGCAAAAGCTGAACAAGTGAGGTCAGTGAAACTGCCTTCAATGTAGAAATGCCTCAAATCAGACCCCCAAACCACAGACAGTGTCATCTCCAGAGCCACTGCAGCAGAAGTGTCCCCAAGCTGTAATTCCCAACAGCACAACACACGCCAGTGCCTGGGCTTTCCACCAGGAGAGGTGTTTTTATTATTTTTTTTTTTAGCTAGCTCTATATAAGGGCTGTCGCTTACAGTACCAAAGCTAAAAACCCCCACAATGCTCTCCAACCAGCTGGCCCAAGCATCTGCTAGAGCCACAAAATGCAATTATATTACTCCCAAACGAGACGTAAAAATATCTTGTTTCCAATACTCTTGGTTTTAAGACTCATACTTAATGTCCTCTGGGCATTGCGGCGGTGCCAGATCTCCGTGTTATGTACTTTATTAGAGCTGTGTGAATGTCATATTAATGACTCCTGACCAACATGTTTACACTGCAAATAAATTCTCCTGGAATCCACTGATGCACCCCTTGTTTCCCAAGCCAGTCTCTGCAGGTTTAAGGGATCCCCATACACACAAATGACAGAGCAGCAACACAAAGCTCCAAAAACTCTTCTTTTTAATTTCTGGCTAGTGGCTAATGGCTGAATAAAACTCAGCATCCAGGAAAGCCCGTGCAGATCTCCAGCACTGACACTGATGACCTTCTGAATCCTCACAGTTTCATAGCAGCTGCACCTGAATCAGATGCAAGTGCTGAAATCTGGACACTACATGGCCAAAAAAAGTCTGAGCCCAGATTTCCAACAAGCTAAAACTACCAAAGAACTCCATAACTAAAATTCTTCAGAAAATATGGAAAAAGATCTCTGGGGTTTTTTAAAGCTAGTGCAGTAATTCCACCAAAAATGCAGCAATCAGCAGAGCTCTATTCCCAACCCATCCCACGTTATGTGTCCTCAGCTCACTATGCTACAAACCAGTGTCACCTCTTGCTGTGCACTGAGATGAGCTCTGAAGAGACTGAGGAACACTTGGGAGCTCCTCAGCACCAGGCAAGCACCAGATAAGCAAGCATTTACAGAAACAAGCCCCTTCAATGCCATGATGGTTTAGGGGGTTCAGATTAATCTGAGATTTTGGTCTATTCCTACTAAAATTCAACTGCTGTAAGGAGAATTAAGCCATTTTTAAATTTGTGGTGAATAAATACCTTGCTATGGCATAGAAACCCAAAGTATTTCAGGTGAAGAACTCAGCCTTACCCATGGCTCATTCACTCTGCTCCTTCCTGCCAGACCATGCTAGGCACATGTGAAAACCTAATCCCAAATCATCACTAACTGGAGGAGCTGCAGCAACAAGAGGCGCCCATGAGAGGCAGAACATGGGGCTCCACTCTGCTGGCCTGGCCCACTCATATTTGGGCAGAGGAAAGGCCAAGCTGCCAGTCAGTGCCAGATACACATCAGGGAAGGAGATGTGCTTCTCTGCTTCAAAACCCCCTTAAAAACCCCATTCCTTATATGTTCTGCTTTCTGGAACTACAACTTCATGTCAGCTCTGCAGAGGAAAATGCTCAGGTGGTTGATCAGAGGTTTGCATGAGATGCCTCTGCCCAGTGGCTCCCTGTCTACATGGGACAGGCAGGGCACAGGCAGGGCTGGGGTTCAGCAGCTGCATGGGCCAAGTACCCTGCTGCCACACCAACACCCTTTTTCCCTTTGGAAAAAGAGGAAAGAAATAGATTTATCACCAGAAGACACAAAGTCATTAAATAATTAAAAACAAAACTATGGGCACAATAAAAGCCCTCTGATAAAACCCTGCATTTTAATGCGTGTTAATTCCCCTAATGATTCTTTCTGTGTCTCACAGGGTCAAATCAATGTCCTCACAAAAAAATCCAATTATATCCCATTCATCGTATCTTTGGAGCAAAGCTATTGTTTGCTTTTGTCTCCTATCAAACCCTTTTCCCATTGCTTCTTGCCCGAGACTACAAACAAAAGACAGCATGGCACCAGCAAGGTCAGATGAGACAGAGCTGGCTCTGAAACCCCGGCTGGTCCTGGCTCCTCTGGGATTGCACAGCAAGTGACAAACCAAGGGACGCCTGCAGGTGACACAAATGCTCAGTCCTGTCATCAGTGAGTCCCCCTGCAGCACCAGTCAGGCCAGGTGGCTCCAGGTGGACCCCAAGGCCACCCAGATTTATCTCCATGGGCAAGGGCACCACACCCCATGGGCAGCAGCATTTTATCTAGGTGCCCATTTATTTTCATTGTGCACTTGCCAGTGTGTTCAGATTATTAGTGTGAATGCACCAGGGAGCCACCAGCTGGGAAGCCCAGCCAGCTGTGTGAGACAGGACACAAGCAGCTCCACCATCTCCAGACAGCTGCCACCAAGGATGTTCCCACTGCTCCCTCAGCCTCGTGCCACTGTGGCACCACTCAGCCTGGCACTCCTGGCTCAGGCATGATGGCAGGGCCACCACACGCTCCCCACCCAATGCTACGTGACTGCAGCTCCTCAGACACTTCAATATTTAATGTCAGCACGTAACAGCCCAGAGCTGTGGCACATGGGCGACCTGATCTCACCCGCCACAGGGTGGATGAGAGGCAGCGCTGCAGCCAGCAGCACAGGGACAGGGACAGCAGGGAGGAAGAAGCTCCCTCAGTGCACTCAGTGCTGCCCAGCAGCTGCTGCAAAGCTGTTTGTCTTCATGCACAGGAACCAGAGAGGACATGGCCACAAAGCAAAGGACAGACAGATGTGTGGTAGTTTCTGAGTCCCCTGTCGTTGGGAGGAAATGATGAATCTGACTCCATGTTCTTAGATGGCTAATTTATTATTTTATGATCTATATTATGTTAAAGAATATTATACTAAACTATGCTAAAGAATACAGAAAGGATACAGACAGAAGTTTAAAAGATAATAATGAAAACTCGTGACTCTCGCCAGAGCCTCAACACAGCTGGCTGTGATTGGTCATTAAGTAAAAATAATTCACATGTTGGATAAACAATCTCTAACCACATTCCAAAGCAGCAAAACACAGGAGAAGCAAATGAGATAATATTGTTTTCCTTTTTCTCTGAGGCTTCTCAGCTTCCCAGGAGAGAAATGCTGGGCAAGGGGATTTTTCCAGAAAATGTGACAGTGACACCGACGAGCAGGGATCTGGGGGTGTCAGAGAGGCTCGTCACCCATCGTGCACAGAGAAAGGCTCCAACTCTGCCCTGAGCTGAAGGGTTTCCAGTGAACACACATTTTTTGGTAGAAAAAAAGTTTAAAAACTCTGAAAAGGACAACTAATGGGTTCCCTAAAGCCATGGACTGAGTGTTGGTTCCTTCCTCCCCGATTCCTTCCTCCCAGCTCAATTCCCTCCAGGTCATCCTGCATCATCATAAGGTATTGGCAATTCCCACCTCACCTCACAAAATACAAAAAGACTGTAAGGGAGAAGGATTGCAGGATTCCCTAGGCCAGGCAGCTCTGGTCACCATCTGGTCTCAAAGCAACATGTAATTCATTAAAAAAAAAAAAGCAGTCTGAATTTCAAGTTATTACTTTGTATGAATTATACACACCCGAATTAATAAGCCTGGATCTATGCATGTGTTAGGAGAAAGTAGAAGAGTTTCTACTCATCCCTAGATTTAGACCACAGGGCTAATAAAGCTGCAATCTCTTAAGCGAGCACATTTATTCTCTTAGGAATTCACCACGTCCTCTCTGCTATAAAGACAAATTCCAGCCCATCACTTCCTTATCATCCTTCTGCTCTGAAATGAAAATAAAAATTCATGTTGACTGTGGACCATCTTCTCAGTGGGATTGAGCCATTTTCGTTTTCAACCCATACCCACTCTCAAAGCTATTAATATTCTGAATATCCCAACTACAAACTGCTCCAAACACCACACAGAGCAGGCTCACACCACCTTCTTCAGCATCATGGGAACAAAAATCAAAATCCCCCAGCATTCACTCAGTTGTTTGGCCTAAATCAGCAACACTATAAAGGGATATTGCTCATGAGCTGGGTGAGACAAGGAGCAGGAGAAAGGCAAAGTGAGCCCACGAGTGTCCAGCAGGGACAGGAGGGACATGGCAGGGTCAGGTGCCTGCAGGCTGCCAACACCTGTCAGTGACAGAACACTCCTGCACCAGAATGTTTCACTGCCATTTCAGGCAGCACTTGGTTTGGTTTTGAGGCATCACCTCTCTGC